GGGTTGGGTGGGTAGAATGATAAAGTGAGAGAGATAAGGCAACTTTCTGTTCACAGAGCGTCTGAATCTAACCCTTTGCACTTGTATGCTTATTTTGATTTATTTAATTATACACACAGACACACACATATGCATGTATACATATACATATTCAACTTATAGTAAGCAAATATAATTTTCAAATCGTATCATTAAAAAAGGTAACTTAACCACAACTCATCAACTAATTGTAAGTCTGTCTACTCAGTGGTAAAACCTACAGTAGAGAAATGGCTTTTCTTCTGGTGACAGTTCCATTCTGTTAAGAGCTACGTGTTGTTGGAGGCTTGAAACAGAACACAAAGTATATATGCCTTTCTCTCAAGCCAGCAAAACTGCCAGGATGAGTGATGGCTTACAGAGGATAAGCTAAGGAGTGCCAATTGTTAATCCTTAGTAGAATTGTGGTATTGGATTTTCAGCCTAGAGAGAAAGACTGAACCATGATTTGAAGAGTAAGCAGACGTTCAATAGGCATTACTTAACTTGAAGCAAAACTTGCACTTCCCTTTTAATGAAATGGTAAATAGGTGTATTGTAAAACACAGCTTAGGCAAATAAATGGCAATGGCCCTTCTAGAACAGACCATCTTTGCTCCTGAACATAGATACTCTGCCCTATAACTTAAGTGTGCTGGCTTTTGAAAGGTTTCTTAGAGCTTTTTAAATGAATAGAAAGGCTTGATTATTTTGCCGGGTGGCATTTTATCTTTGGAAGTGCATTATTGCTACTACAGGCAATTTGAGATATTGGAAATAAATATGTTTTGTGGTACCTCAGGAAATAGCTACTCAAATATACAAGTCTTTGAGTCAGGAGTATCATCAGAGGAGTGAAACACTAATTTTTTTTCATGATGGCAACATCTCCTACTCTCCTGCCCCTATTTTAGATCACTTGGTTTCATACCTTTTTCAGAGGATAGGGGAAGGCACAATAGGATAAGATGTTCTTGATTTGATATTAGGATATTGAGATAAAGTGACCACATAAAGTTGGGGTGGGGGGTTGATTTTAAGAGAAACAAATGCTGGGTGTGTAATTGTGTATCTTAGACCAAGAAAGAATATTTTAATGAACTCAGAAACTACTGGGAAAAGAGCTCAGGAAGAGTGGGAGTTAAGAACATGAATGAAGCTCTGCTGGGTGAGGCCATAGGCACATCTAATACGGTATTTGCTGTCAATGCCAACAGGAAGCATTTGGGAAACTCACAAGCCCAGACTGAAGGACATCAGCCTTATTCCACTATCATATCGCCCACCAACCAGGATTTTGGGTATCTGCCTGTGATTTAAAAAATAATGCACAGCCATCAGTGTTGATAGCCCTCATGATCCTTCATGAGTTTATGCAGTCTCCTTTTAAAGCTATTGAAATTATCTACCATTACCACAACTACTGCCAGGGAATTTCACAGTTTATGCAGTGTGCAAAAAAAGTAATTTTATGCCATTCCTGAATCTCCTTGCATTTAGTTTTATTGGATGACTTTAAGTTCTAGCACTGTTAGAAAGTGAGACAAGCGTCTCTCTCCACACTATCTGTGCCATGCACTAGCCATACCATACCTCTCCCATGTTTTCCCTTTGTTCCAAGTGAAAAAGCCCTAGATGCTGTAGTCTTTTCTTGTGGGGAGTTGCTTTTGTTCCATAATTATTTTGGATGTTCCTTTTTTAACAACACAAGTTTTATACAAAAATGTGGTTTCACCATAGATTTTTTTTAAGGGCATTATTATATTTGCAATTTTTAAATTATATTTTTATTTTGTTATATTTTTATTTTGTTTTAAATTCCCTTTCTAGTTATTCCAAATATAGTTTGTTTTTTAACAGCAACTACTCATTGGATTGACATTTTAATCTAGCTGTTTACTGTAACTCCAGGATCCTTTCCCCACCTGATCCCATGAATGTACAGATGAAGGTTAGTGGGGTTTTTTGTGCATAACTTTGCATTTGCTATGTTGAAAGTCATTTGCCCAATTTGAAAAAAGTATTTTGGAACTTTTCACAATCCCTTTTTGATTTTACCATCCTAAACAGCTGATACCATCAACAAACATGCCCACTTCACTGATAAGTTCCAACTCCAGTTCATCTACATAGTATAGCCCCAAATCAGTCCAAAATTAATTTGCTATTAGTAAAGCACACATTCTGAAGGCTGTAAATCCAAACTTAGTAAAATGGTTTGTTTTATCTAGGGTCTTTGTTTACCAGAAGGAGATTTACATCAAATTCCTCTGCTCATCCAGAGAATTACTAATAATGAAGGATATTAAGAATTCACTATGCATCTCTCTACAGAAGTCACAAGAGGCTAACACATGGACCACTGATCACTGTTTCCAGGCTGACAGGGACAAGTCCTTGGGGTTTTCTGAAACTTGCCCTTCAGTATAGCTGATGGCAGAATACCAAAGTGCCTCAGAGTAGAGGCTGTATGAAATTTATTAACTGTAATCTGGTTAAAATACTGATCCAGCTGAAAGTAGAATTTATGATGTCTCAACTGCATTCTAGCTAGTACTTTGCTGTATTCTGTTTGTAGTTGTGTACCTTTTGGTCTAAAAACAGCCATACTCTGTTCTTGTCCCAGCAACAACAGTGTCTCTAATTGAAAATCCAATTTCTGAACTCTGTCTCCAATTTCTGTTTCCAAATGGAATGAAAATTGCCTAGCAAGACAAAAATACGTCAAACTTTTAAGTTAATGGAAATTAATCTTTAGCCAGTATTTGAAATACTTAGTCACCCTTTTGTCTCAAGCCTCAGCAGCCCTGCCTCTAACCACAGGGCTGTATTAGGGACACACATTGGTACTTGGAAGAGTTTTCATAAGAAATTAATTTGCACTCTTTCAAGTTTAGTGTAACTGATACCTGGATTTAGCTGAGCCAAGGGTTTGGTAACAAAGAGACACAGCATAGCTGGACTTAACCATGTGCCTTCAGAGAAGAAAAAGGATTGCTGCTGAGCTGCTCTGGGCATTCAACAAAATCTGGGTGGTGTGAGCATTTCAATTGCAGCATGAGTCCTAAATTAGAAAAACAAGATTTCCAAATGCCTGCTGGAGAACAACACTCTGCTCCAGGAGCGTTGATTATTTAGATTACTGGTAACTAGCCATCAGAATTTGGCAGGGTGTCTTTCTCCACTATCGGTAGAGCCCAGGATGTGTGAACAGCTTCTCTCTTTTGGGGGGCAATCAGGAATTGGTAGTGCTTCTTCTGAAGCAAAACCTTTGAATATGTGAGATATAGATAATTCTTCCTTTAAGCCCTTAAAATAGTAGCTACTTGTTTTGCATTCTGGCATTCCTTAACAAACTAGTGCTTTGATCTACAGTGATTACTTAGCCTATTGCCATATCTGGGGTAGAGTATTGTCTCTTTGCAAGAAAGGATCATATGCTCATAAAGCCTGAGTGTTCTCTCATCAAGATAATCTCCGTAAGGTCCTATTTTAGGTGGATGGAATTCAAAAGCCCTTCCAGAGCTGTGATCAGTTGGGCTAACCAACCTCTGCAACCAGGGCAAGAGTTTGCATCTGCTGTTGTTAAACAATGGGTTTCTGTCAGCTTAGCCTTTTTAGTAAGTGCAGATGACTACTATCTATAATTGGGAAGTTGTGATGGAATGGTTTGATGAAGGCTGTGCTCCAGATTGAGTCTGGAGAGATTGATGTCAGGTTCAGCCCAAAGAAC